CTTCATGTCTTCCCCATGCCTCACTCCAGCGAGACATGGGCTCTCTAGTCTGAACTCTGGGAATGAATTAGAGGACAGCTTTTGCAGAGGAACAAGAGAAAGCCAACTTTGAACCCCCAGACACCACATCTCCATATAATGGCTGAGACTTCTTCCCAGAACTACTGAAACTTGCACCTTGCTCCCTTCCCTGGGTCTTCCCACCACTGCCTTTAGTGGAAGGTCTGGAAATGAGTGTTTGTTGATGGGAAATGACTGTGTTTTATTTATGGGCTATAGTAACTTTTACAAAAGTGTTTATACTTCTGCAGATCTCTAAAACACATCTGTTTCAAAAAAGAAAGAACGAGAACAAGCTACAATGCCACAGTAGTAGAAATTCTGGCCAAACAAACACAGGGTGGGTCTAAGAGGGAGATGGTGGTGGGGGATGAGAAGGGATTAGAGGGATGGGTGATATTGACAACAGGTTTGGGTCTAAATGACTTTTGTGTTGCCTGCGTAATAAAAGCCACATCATATAATTAAGCTTTTCACGTGGCACTATGTTTCCTTTGAAGTCCATATTGCTATAATAATGTTTTATTGTTCCACACAGCCAGACTATCAGTGGTATGCTCCTGACCAGTTTCCGCCAGATGTTCAGCACAAGGCAAATGGTAAGACCACAGCTGTATTGAGCATTCTTTCATGTTTACATTTTAATGGGATCTTTTGGGGATGTTTACTCAATGCACATTCATTCGTACTTGGGGAGGGCTTGCTATAAAGTTGTGGCACATACACAACTCTAATTTGATGCACCTGGGCTTAAATTGAACTCCTTAAGAAAAGGAAAAGATTCGAATACAGACAGCCATGCATGAATCTCAATGTTGGCTTCCATTCCCAAATCCAGTCTGAGAGTCAGTATTACATCTGGGCATGGAAATGAAAACTCGTAGCAACAACAAAGCTCTGTGATTCCACTACAAAGGGTGGACTGTCATCCACTGTTTCCAGGTTGAGTTTGCTAGACAGATGTTTGAAGTGCCACTAGCAGATAGAGGAGACCAGAGGCTCAGAACCACGTTCCCTAATGACTAACCGCCAGGCTCTGAGGCAGTGCTCTAGGGGAGGCCAGGCCTGCCCACAACACCCACCTGAAAGTATGATGGGAAAAACTAAAAGTCACCCCTGAAGTACTCTTTCTTTTTCACTGGTGTGCCCTTCTGCTCCTCCTTTTCAGAATTTGCTTTATCTTCTACATCTTCTTTAAGTGGCCTTAGGAGGCTACTCAGGAGTGGGATCTATAAACTTGACTATCATCATAAACCCACTTCTATTAAAAAGTCAGGAGTGTCTGCTACCAGTTGTTAAGCTCCCGAGGCACACATGTGTGAATCTAACTAGTGACTTTTCCAAGATCACAATCATCTGGAAATGCTGAAGACGAGCGATATTCTGGACGCAGGCTATCCTGGGGACTGGATCTCATTCAGTTCAGAGGTGGCACCCTAGAATTCTGGTTTTCAGTCCAAGTAACCCACTACGGAGTGAAAGTGGGGAACCAGACACCTACGTGTCCTTTGGTAGGTGAGACGTCTAAGTGGCTTTCTCTGGCAGTCTGAGTTCCTGTGTCGTGCCCAGCCTAGGCAGGTAATTGTAGGCAGCAGCCTGGGCCACAGTTGCACACAGTGTCTGAGGCCATGACTCGCAGTGCCATCCATGAGAAGAGACAAAAAGTGAAACATCTCTAATAAACATGCAGGTAGTTATCAGAAAGCTAGAGATGCTTTCGTTTCTTTTCTATCTACCACAAATATAATTATTGGTTTTAATGAAGTTCTCAGGTTCTGACAATAATAGAAAATGTTCACTAGAAAGGCATACTATGAACCATAATGGTTATTACATAATGTCTGAGCATCTTCTTAAGCCATTGTTGTACAATAGCTGAATTACCACTCAATCATAATTTTCCATTTTATGTTGGTCTGGAATGAATATTAAAGATATTTCCTCCCTGAATTGGAATTCAATTGCTAGAAAATACAATTTCTCAGTAGACAATTCAGTAAAATCAAAAGAACATTTATGTATCACAGTGGGTCTCTACTTGGACCAATGCCACAGAAGCTAATGACGACGGAAAAAGTTTACATGGAACTTTGTGAAAATGAAATTTTATAGTCAGTAGTACATAAGACTTGCTAATTTTTTTTCTATCTGAAAAAAGTAATTCACTTTTTGGTACATACATGTGACAGTATCTACAGAGTTTAAATTGCAATAAAATAAAATCTTTTATTATGTTTAAACCTAAATGTTTTAAATGTATGATTTGTTTTAATCTTAATAACAGTGCTATACACTAACAGTAGGTACTATTATACTATTTGACAAATGAGGAGACTGAGTTTTGGAGGGTTTAAGTAACATATCTAAACAGCACACTTCATAAAATTTAGCACTTGCATTAAATTATCCCTGTAGTTTAATCTAAATCTGTGATTTGGGTCATATACCAGACTCTCATTACCCATAATCCCTCCTTCCTATGAAATCACAGCATATGTTATCTGTGCCATTCATTTGCCATTTAGAATATCACCAGTAAAAAAAAAAAATGGAGTAAGTGTGTCATGAACATGCTATGAAGAGATCTGGGTGAGTTGGTGACCTTGACGGGATGTAGCATTTTGTAGGGCTGCTGTAACCAAGTACCACAAACTGGGTGACACACAGTAACATAAACCTGTTGACTGCCTCACAGGTCTGGGATAGCAATCCGAAATCAAGCTGTTGACAGGGCATGCTGTCTACGAAGAGGCTAGGGGAAGATCTTTCTTGTCTCTCTCAGCTTCTGGTAGCCCCAGGCCTTCCTTGGCGTACAGCTGCAGCCTAATTTCCTCTCTACCTGGTCCTCACATGTCTTCCTTCTGAGTGACTGTACTTCTGTGTTCTTCTTCTTCTAATAAGGCTACCCGTCATAACTGCATTCGATCCCATTCTACCACAGTTTGAACTCTGGTTAACCTCACATATAACTTCTCCCAAGACCCTGTTTCTAAGCAAACTCAAATTCCTAAGTACTGGGAGGCTAGAATGGAGTTGTGGTGATGCTATGGCTTAGGCATTGAGCTGCTAACTACAAGGTCTGTGGTTCAAACCCACCAGCCTCTCCTCCAGAGAAAGATGAGGCTATCAGTTCACGTAAAGAATTATATGCTCAGACCCTTTGCAGGGTTGACAACAGTCAAACTAAACCCAATGGGGGTAGGTTTGGTTTGGAGGCTAGAGTGGAGCCCTGGAATCTCAGTGGCTAAGGACTGGGTTTCTAACAAATAGGTCAGCAGCTCAAACCTATCGGCTACTCCATAGAAGAATTAGGTGGAAGTATACTTCCATGAATGTTTATAGCTCTAGTCTCTCCTATTGCAGACTTACAGTGAGTCAAAATCTACTAGACGGCAATGGTGTTGTTTGATCGGTTCGTTAGTTGCTTGCTTGGTTTTGGAGGCTAGGGATCCCCAGGTGGCACAAATGGCTTGCACTCAACTCTTAATCTAAAAGTTGGTAATTTAAACCTACCCAGTGGTTGGATCCTTGCAAGAAGGGTCTGGCAACCCATTTCCATAAAGATTCTGTGAAAATTCAAATTATGGAATAGTTTTACTCTATCATACAGGGTCACCATGAATTAGAATGAACTTGATGGGAACAGATTTTGTTGGGGGTTGGAGGGCTACAACTTCAACATCTTCTTTTAGGGTGGGTGACACTTCATCCCATCACACAAGGTGCTATGTGGACCTGTCTCCATGGTACTATACCTCAGCAGTCCTACAGACAGCTGCCATCTGTCTGCTGCTGGGTTGGGGACTCATTGTGGCTTTGGGAGTCACCTGAAAAAGAAATTGCTTACAGAAAACTACCTGATTAGCACCCCTATTTTCCCCCTTTATCTTCTGAAAATTATGCTATTTCAAAGTTCAGGGACCCAAATCTAGATTCACTGAAATGCTAGAAATGCAAAGCAAATAGTAAGAATTCAGAAGGGTTCTGAAATCAAATTTATTGTAAATTTCTCATGGGGGGGCATTATTTGAAGACAGTAAAAATTCTTGCAGTTTTCAATTTTCATTTCATTGGACATCTCCACTTGATATGTAGATGCAATGCAATTGATTAGAAGTCTAAGAATAATTTTGAGATATTGATTATTAAACAGCTATAGGTTTAAAAGGAAATTTTTGAATACAGAGACTTTCATTATCACAGTCCTCATTGTATGGCATATATATTAATGTAGTTATCCTTCCCTACTCAAGAATATACTCTGAGTCAGTACAACCTATTTTTTAGGTGAAAATATGCAAATTCAATTAATGGAAGAAAACTTAGTAGAAAATATAGACTGTTATTCTATAAACAAATTAGTTTTTAAAAATCCTGTTTTATTGCCATGATGAAATCTTTGAGGTATTTTACCTGTATTTTAAAAAAATGACCAAATTTCAGAAATGAAGGTGTTGCAATTACTACTAATTAGTGTGTGTGCTTTATTGAAGGTCCCAATCCTCCATTTCTATTAATTTTCTATGACTCCTGACAAATTTATTTTTCTGAACCCCAATAAACGTAGCACAGTATATTTTTATCCAAGTAATCTCCTTTATAATTATTTCTATTATAGCAATTTAACTTGAAATATTAGAACTGCTGTCTATTTACAGAGAAATACTTTGTGAACTTTAAAAAGGATGGCAGATGAGGTGTGATTAAAGCTGAATGTACCGCCACGCCCTCCTCTAATATTCTCCATGTCTGGGGCAAGAATCCAGATAGAGACCTGCATTCTGTGATCCAAATATTTACAAATCACTATTCAAACTTATACACTGTTACTGTTTTATCATCAACCTTAACAAATGAAGTCCCATGTGTGGTACAAACAATGAAGCACTGGACTACGCCTGTGAGGTGTGAAATTCTAATCTTTCAGAGGCACCTCCAAAGGAAGGCCTGGTATCTGCTGCTAGCAAACCAGGCCTTTGACACCTCCTGGAGCCTAGTTAGTTAGACCTTGGCACACATGATATCACCAGGTGTTGCAGTCAATTCAATGGCGATTGATTTTTTATCTCGATAAGTGATCTGGGAGTCCAGAATCTAAAGTGGATGCTCAGATTCTTCCTCGTTCTGAACCGGATTTTGGTGACACGTAGAAAATGAGTTCTGGCCCTTTAACTGTGACCCACGTCATTCCTCCGTTCATCCTTTTGGGTTAGTCTGGGTAAGGTAGGGAAGCAAATCCACAGAAACTCTTATGTATAGGACAGAGTTCGATATAAAGGGTAAGTTTACATTCAGAAAGCAGTGCTGTCCAAGCCCACAAGTCCAACATTAGCCCATATGTCCGACACCAATCCACAAAGTCCTCCTCCATCTTACAAAACACACGCAATGATGCCGACTGCTGGAGGAAAGCCGAGTCAATGAATGTGTAAGCATCTCAGCACTGGCAGGGGTCTCCACACTGGTGCTCCAGCACCCAGGGCTGCATCCGGGTAAGTCCATGTGGCTTCTCCTCAGGGATGTCTTGCAGGAAGTGGGCCTTGCCAGCTGAAGCAGGGAACTGGCTAAGGCAGCATCAGAAAGCAAGAGACCCGAGAACTAGAAAGGTGAAGCTCACCGAGCCATTTATCCCTCCGTCTTTCAATTAATCTCACATGTGTTTATCGGCCAGGTTGGCACAATAAACCTTCACTATCTCACCCTCCTTCCCATTTCCTTGGCCTTTGAGAGTGGACCTTTAAAGTGCATGTGAGGAAAATGTCCCAGGTGGCACAGCCTAACTTCATCTGTGCCCTTCATACCCTCTGCAAGCAGCAACCACTGGCCAACATTTAGACAGGGGGGGAGGGGGAAGGGTGCGCACAGTTCTGAAAGAGGCCCAATGCCACGTAGGCAAGGGACGTTAGAGTCTACGCCAGGGAGCCAAGAGCTTGTTCTGAAGCGGGGGTCTTCTACAGTGCAAAGGCTTGACTGAAGGGTGATCAGAGTAGTGTCCTCTAAGCACCAAGCACTGCATTAAACAGTCCGTAGATCAACCGGTTGTCAGCTTTGTTCTCGGTCACTATCCATGATTATTTCAGAATGGGTTTGGCACGTAGTGGAAATTAACCGTTCTTTTAAAAATTAAAGACCTCCATGAACATTTTCAAGGCATGATGTGACACTTCCTTGGCATTTTCTCTGCAAAAGATTAAGTAATGACATTTTCTAATATACTGACATCCACAGATGTGAATAGGTTGCAGTTTCTGTTTTGAAACATGTAATTTTCCAAAGGGCATTTTAATCTCATTTCATCTGTTATCAAAATAGGATGAAAAATTACTTCCATGTTACTAGAACATTTATGGCATGGGAAAGTTAGTATAACCTTGAAAGTGCGTTTATTTCTTCTGAAATGTCCAATCGCTGTTTTTTAGTGACATTTCATGACAGTCTCTTCTGTTTATTTCCAAATTTTTCATATGGTGCCGAGTGGAGCTTTATCTAATGAGCTTGAGCTTAATACTTGCGTATCTGGAAAGGCATGGCAAGTAGGCATGTGAGATTGTATTTTGAACCAGCATAATGCTTTCTTTATAATATAGATCAAAGTAGAAATTGACCTTCACTTATGCTTAAGAATAACTAATTAACTGAGTACTGACTATATGCCAGAGACTATTTTCGGTGATTTATTTGTTTTATTTCAGAAAAACCTTAGAGTTAACCCTATGGCTTTATCCCTGTTTTATAAGTGTAGACACTAAGGCACAGAGAAAGAATGCAATTTGTCTGAATTCACATGGCAATTTGCTGGCTGGGACATAGACCACCTCAGGAAATATGATTCCAAAACCCACATTTATAAAAAAACTGCACAATATGGATTGTTTATGATTCCTTTTATTTTATTCAAACAAATTCAGATGATCCTTGCCTGAAAGTTAGATTATGTCTTTTTATATTCTTAGATACCCCTGAATTGATTTTTTTTTACTCACAGAGACCCCATGTGACAGAGTAGAACTGTGACATTAGGGTTTCCTAGATGCTGGTGTAGTGATTAAATCACTTGGTTGCTATCTTAAAGGTCAGCTGTTGAAACGCACCAGGTGCTGGATGGGAAACAGGAATTAAGAGTCTGCTTCCATAAAGATCACAGCTTTGGAAAGCCTCATGGAACAGTCCCACTTTGTCCTACAGGGTGACTATGAGTTGAAATCGACTCAGTGGCAATGGGGGTTCGTCTTTACAGGAGTAGTTCACCATGCCTTTCTGCCTCAGAGCCGCTGGGTGGGTCTGAATTGGTGTCAGTTAGCAGCCGAGTGCTTACCACTGCACCACCCAGAATGCCTCAAGTCTTTTTATAACTCTGTTTCTGTCAACATCACAGGTAGCTTATGTAACTGAGGAGTCCTGGTGGCACAATGGCTAAGCCCTAGGCTACAAAGATCCGTGGTTCAAACCTACCTGCTGCCCTGCGGTAGAAAGCTGTGGCGTCTGTTTCTGTGAAGATTACATGCTTGGAAACCCTATGGAGCTATTCTACACCATCCTATAGGGTCACTATGAGTCAGAACAATTAGATGGTGACAGCTTTGGGTTGTTATTTGTGCACTTATTTTATATGTTAATAAAATTGCCAGATTCTGTTAGGATGTTTTCAATTAGCAGCAGTATTAAGAGAAAGGAATCAGTTTAAGAGGAAAAGCGGTTTAAGAGTTGTAAAACACAGAAGACATTTGGTGATTATACTATAATTTCACAGATGGATAAATTATTAAGTATGGTTTCCTTTATAAAGTGTACTACCTTCTAAATTATTTTGCCAGTAGTTGGTTGACATCGAAATATTACTCAAGAAATTAGAGACAGATAATCCCATGCCCGTTTCTAGATATTTATAACTCAACTATATCATATCATGTCAGGTTGTCTTGGTGTCTGGTAATTTTTCCTAGATGAGAAGTGTATATGCCATAGTTTCATTTAGCTACAATCCAATGAGGTCAATAAAATTACATTACTTCTCTTTGATGGAAGATAACAAACTCCTCTTAAAGAAGGAAACCAAGGTTAATATTAAAGATTACATCCCGATGGAAACGAAGATTTATCCCCTAGGCTCCTTTACTGTTCAAGTTCAAACATCCACTTTCTCAGAAGTGATTGGGCATGTGGAAGACAAGAGTCTTCCCAGTCCTTTGACTCCCTTTGCTGCATTGGGATCTTGTGCTCTTTCACCCTAAGCACTAGGTGCATTTCAAAGCCTTTAAGCAGATCCTTTAAGCAGAGTCAAAACTTGACCTCTTCCACCAAGGTCTATGGACCACATATACACGGTATGTACTAGTTCTCTAGCACTTGGAGATTTGAATGGATTCCTACCAAAGCACCCGTCTGTCCGTGAAGGCTTGTGTTTTGCTATGTGCAGAACACATGTTAGCAGAACATCCAGATTAAAACAGATGAAAAAGAAAAGTCTGACAATCCATTTCTGAAAACTCAGTCAGGGAAAACCCTGTGGGTCAAAACGGACCAGTCCACAACGGACCCCAGCAATGGATCAGGGCTGGGTCACTATGCTTGACAGCAGCCCTAGACAATAGAGTTGAGACATTAAAGATCCTAGAATTTCTTGTGAACACAAAAGCATAGCTAATATAACAACAAAGAGCCCTAGTAGCATGGTGGGTTAAGCATTGGACTGTAAGCCCAAGGTTGGCAGTTGAAACGCACCAACCACTACAGGAGGAAAAAGACGAGGCTGCCTGCTCCCATAAAGATTTACAGTCTCAGAGACCTACAGGAATAGTTCTACTCCATCTTGTAGGTCACGATGAGTTGGAACTGATGAGATGGCCATGGGTGGTGGGTGGAATGTGGCAGCCACTGTGAATGACTATAGGACCAGGCACACAATCGGTGAGTAGAGCTTTCCACCAAACAGGAAGGGGAGCCTCACTCTACTGCTGTGATGGGTCCCATGATTCTTTGTGGAATTTTCTTCTCCCATTGTAACCGTCAGTCAAGTGTTGGAGAGGGAGCCAAGTACTCACCACCACCACCGTGTTGTGCGGGTAGAACTCTACCTTCCCTCCGAGGAACTGAAGAGTGTTTGTTCTTGGCTTTTGTTCAGCTTTGCATTGTCTCCTCTCGCTGTAAAATATGGGATGATGGCTTTGCTTCTATACCTACCTCACAAGAGTGCTATACGGTGGATTTTGAAGGGAATTTTAGATTGCCCAGGAGTTGGTAGTGTTAATGAATTAGATCTGTTGCCTGAAAACGATTTGTCTCTTTCATGTGATGGGCTAAGTATTTCTTCACCAACACGTTCTCTTAAGCCTGGGAAAGTAAGTTCTTGTCTTTTTCTCTGTTTTTCGGTTACCAAAATTTTGTTTTCTTCATTTATACATAATCATAAGCATGATGTATATCAAATGCAAGTAGAAAACATCTAGCATATTTTAAGCTCTTAATACGAATAAAGAAATACTATCTCGTGGCATTTCTGATATGAGTATATGACTTGGATTTTATCTTCTGTGGGTGCTCGTGATTGCCATTCGCTCCTGGCCCTGTCAGTGCACCAAATTTTCCCGTTGGCTTGTGAGAATACACGGACACATTTTAAAAGCTGTGATCCTTCCTGTGGTTTTGACATTACAGAGAACCGTACTTTGAAGGGTGGTTTCTTTTCCAAATTACCTTTCAGTGGGGTAAGTTGTACTGAAATCTAAGAGCACCACCGATGACTTACTCCCCAAAGCAAATGCTCAAGCCTCTGAAACGCCAGCAAGAAAAAGAAGTGCTAGAGAAAATCCCCTTTCGGGCAGCATGAGAACCAGGCCACACGTCACAAAAATAGCCGGCATATGTCAGGGCTTAAAATAATAACCCTCCATTTCCCGCCGCTTGGTTTCTCAGTGTAAACTCACGGGGAGTTCATGAATAAAATATCTTTTGTTTCGCCAGCCTAGACATTGATCTTAGCTAGAGGAAGAGAAGATCATTTTTTTAATGTTTAATCTGAATCATTTTCCTGCCTTTTTTTTTTTTTTTAAATAGAGTTCTCCTCAGAAAAGAAAGCCAATCAGTAGGAGCAGACGCCAAAGTAGACGCACAACGGGCAAGAAGAAGCTTGGCTGAGGGCCCTCGTCCATTTTTCTATTTTACTGTGGGTGGTTTTTGCCACCACTGCGCGTCCTTGCCTTTATGATTTGTGCCTGGTGATGGCTTCTTTGGGCGCGAATGAAGGAAAGGCTTTCTGACCCAGCTCTGGGAGGCAGCCACCATCAAACAAGACAATGCAGTGTGCTCAAGATAAGATCTGCCCGATGCCACGAGTGACGCTCCTCCAAACGCTCTTCAGCATGTTGTTGCTAGATGAGTGCTTGATTGAAGCAACTCCATTTGCTGGGCCACCGGCATTGCACGTTGATTTAGAAAGTACACACATATGTATTCCCTGGGGGAAACGTTTCTGCTGTTGTAAAGGTGTGACGTCGCTCCCGCTTCTTCATAGGGGCTGAGTTCGTTAGCCAGTTGCTTTATTCATCATTGTTCTTTTCTGTGGACTTATCAGTAGGATTGGAGAAATGTATATACTTTTTAATTAAATGAGTTCCACCCGAATAAAATGGTTATCTTCTAGCTGTCCTTGAAACAGAGTGTTTTTTAGTAGTGGGTAGGGCATTGTGAACCGGCTTCCTTTTTTGGCACTCTAGATTATGGAAGGTAAAATGCTGACGTAATGGTAATGGTCTCTCCGTACACAGTTGGAGAGCTGTGATCCTTCCTCTATACAAACAGAACTACCCGAAGACATATGGATGGATGGTTGACGCTGTGTGTGCCTTCATATGGAGGATGGATGGAAACATAGCTCTAACCAATTAAGACGGGAAATGAATGCATCCAGTTTCTAAATCTTACTGCAAATAAATGCTATAGCAGTGTGACAGATGTCTGAAGATTAAGCCACTTTCAAAGCATCATGTTCATCCACTTAATAAGGACTCTACTCAGACCAACTGAAGATCCTCCTTGTGAGGAGCTATAGAGTGAGTGTCACCTCTGTGTCAACTCTGGATACCTGTCCTTCCCAAGGTACCTAAACACTTCCCAGAAGAAGCAGCTGTATAGGCATTGAAAAAAAAAAAAGACAGAGGAGGAAGCTTCCAAAAGTTTGTGGGAAAAAACAAACAAATTAAAAGAAAAAGAATTTTCCCACCACCTGTTAGCCATCCACGCCATGCTGCTGAGATGGGTTGGTGGTGGGTGCCGCCCAGTCATTTCCTGCCCTTAGTAGCCCTGTGCCCAGCCAAGAAGGCGCCGCCCGGTCCTCCACCTGCCTCCCAATGGCACTTGGGTTTGAGCCCATTGGTGCAGCCACTGTGGGAGCGAATCCATCGCTTCTTCGCCAGTGCTCCTCCTCGTCCCTGCTCCTCTCTGCTGCCAAGCACCGTGTCCTTTACTGGACGCTATTTGGCTGTCAGTCTGTCAAATGGTGGTGGCTTGTGCGGTGCTGTGACGCTAGGAGCTATGCCACTAGTATTTTCAAATACCAGCAGGGTCAGCCAGAGCGAACAGGTTTCAGCAGAGCGTCCAGACTCAGAACAGACTAGAAGAAGCACGAGGTAGTCCACTTCTGAGGAACTCAGCCACCGAAAGCCATGTGAATTACAGCAGAATCTTTTCAGATACTGCTGAAACTGCCTAACCCCAATTCCGGAAGTTATGCTGCTTAACTTCGTTGTGAATTCTCTAGTTTCCGTTTCTGGAGACACACAAAGCCATGTGTTTTGGAAAAGTGAAAGAGCCTGAAAGAACCCTGGTGGCACCATGGTTAAAGTGCTCAGCGACTAACAAAATGGCTGAAAGCATTAGCAGCTCCAAAAGAGAACAATGTGGGAGTCTGTTTCCGTAAAGAGTTACAGCCTTGGAAAAACTCGGTGGCGGGGGGGCGGTGGTTAGCCTCTTTGACTGCTGTGGAACATAATCCTTAAGGAAGACTTACGTCTCCTACATTGATTCCCTAAAGCTCTGTGGTTGCTACTATGGATCAGAGAAAAGTCATCCCTGAACAACACTGCAGGAGAAATTGCAGTAGAAATTAGGGGGAAATAATTAAGTTAATTGCATTTCGACATTTTAGAATTGTTGGTTTTTTTGTTTGCTTGTTTTTGTTTGCATTTCTTCAGCTTTCAAATTCAGTTTCCCGTGGTGAGTTAAACTTCCCAACTTCAGGTGTGCCCACCAGAGTAAAAACCGAACCTAATTGTCAGAACATACCGCTCGAGAGGTTCATGCAGATCAATTCGATGGCAGTCAAAGATGATTTCACTAACCAGTCTGAAGTCATCATCTTGCTAATTAGCAAGTGGCCAAACATTGGCAAGATTGTGCAAATTCTAATGGAATGGAAGAAAATCCCATTAAAATGGGCCCTAATTCAATTTGAACTCCCCGTGGGGGACTACAAAATGTGGGAAGAGGAGCCCTGGCTCGGGAAACAGCCTCTTTTCCAAAGAGACGGATTACTAGAAATCTGGCCACGGGGCCAGCCAGTGTCTCCGCGTGCCTGTCTCCCTCCGTGCGCCACCGTTTGCTTGGGGAGGTCTCTGGTTGGACTCATTAGAAGGGTCATACTCCTCAGCGGTGGCATCTACGTCATGAGCACACACCATTTGCGGAAAGTATGTGATGCATAGTTATACCCTTTGAAAGGAGTTCACAGCTTGCTCTTACTTAGGAAGTGCAACTCAGCATGTTTCATGTTTTTGAAGATTGGGCGAAATGTGATCCTTGAGTTGGAGGCCGTGAAATGAAGAGCGTTTGCCCTTGGCTCTGATTGCGCTGCAGTGAAAGGAACTCTTCCCCTGGAGTCCAGCGCGTCTGGGGTTAGAGCAGCCTCGACTGATAGTTCGGTTATGATTTGTTGGGGGTTTTGTTGTGTTGTTACTTTTGTTGGCCCTATTTTCTTACTAATAAAAAGTTTCTTTTTGTTGGGGATTGTTGGGTTTTTTTGCTTTGACCCTGTTTTCTTACTAACAAAGAGAGTATTTGGAATGAAATTGTCAGCATTATTGGCCTTTGCTAGCGTACTGACTGCAAAGGCAGTTGACTCTGTGGCCATAAGAAACGATGGAGAGCCTTGAGAAAAATAGGAATTATACAAACAGTTATACAAACAGACCAAGGACATACTGCAGAGTTCAAAAATCAGAAAAGGTGTTCACAAGATTGTGTCCTCTTACCACACTTATTCCATCTGTGTGCTGAGAAAATAAACAGAGAAGCTGGGTTAGATGAAGAAAAATGTGGCATCGGGCAGGAGAAAAATGTATCAGCCATTTGCAATATGCAGATGACACAACCTTGCTTGCTGAACGGCAGGAGGAGTTGAAGCACTTGCTGATAAAGATCGGACTGCAGCCTTCGATACATGTTACAACATATTGAACTTCTTTACATAACTTCTTTACAATGTAAAGAAGACCAACGTCCTCTCAACTGGACCAGTAGGTAACATAAGGATAAACGGAGCAAAGATCAACGTTGTCCAGGGTTTTATCTTGCTTGGAGCCACAATCAGTGCTCATGGAAACATCAGTGAAGAGATTCAGAAAAGATCGCATTGAGTCAACCCTCTGTATATGATCTCTTTAAAGTGTTTACAAGCAAGGATGTTACTTTGAGCACTAAAGTGCACTGGACCCTACATGTTGGATTGTCAATCAGTTCACATGTACGTGAAAGTTGGACACTGAATAAGGAAGACCAAAGAAGAATAAATATATTTGAATTATGGTGCTGGAAAAAAATATTGAAAGTACTATGGACTGTCAAAAAAATAAACCGGTTTGTTTTGGAAGGCTCCTTAGAAGCAAGGATGGCAAAGACTTCCTCTTGCCCACCCAGGACACGTTACCAGGAGAGACCAGTTTCTGGAGAAGGACGGCATGCTTGGTAAGGTAGAAGAGGCAGGAAAAAAAAGACGGCTCTCTGCAAGATGGATGGACACAGCGGCTGCAACAATGGGCTCCAACCCGTGTGAAGAAAGTGCAGGGCTGGGCAGTGTGTCATTGTGCTGCCCGTGGACAGGGCCACCAGGAGCTGGAACGGTCCCCAAGGCACCTCACACCAGCAGTGTCTTGACGAACTTCCATCTGATTACGGTACTGTCATGTCCGGAGCACAAACAGCCACAAGAGAGGTATAATTAGTCCCTTGTATTAAACTGTATTAATCTGGGGGCAAAAAGAGACTCAGTGATCTCCCCAAGGTCTCACAGCAAGTAAAGGGCAGACCTGGGATTCAAACTTGCCTGGACCAGGGCTTCTAAGGTCCCTGCATGCAATACTTTTGCTTGTTAGATTTCCCTGGGAAGCTGTACACTTCTTTGGATCTTTTCATTATTTTTTTCATCATATTGTGAGACAGGCACTTAAGTAGTATGAGAAACATTTTAATAAGAAAAAAACATAGCCATATGTTGCACGGAATATGCAAGTCACTGCCTGAGTTAAGAAAATTAGATGGTCTATCTCATTTAGAGAAAGATGCATGAGAAAAGAAAAATATACAGTTACAGCTAAAAGTACACAAAGGATACAAGAATGGACATGAATGATTACTCTCATGTTTCAGTACTTTAGATGTGGCACAGTAATTAGTAGAATTAATTATAAAAGTTTTAGACTCTCCTAACTAAATTTAATAATTATTATGTAAGTGTTTAATTATTTTCAAAAATTGCTAAGCAGCATGTAACATCTTACACGGCCTTGGTTTCAAGGCACGAATCTTGATCGAATCTATATTGGAAGGAGTGGTTGGAGCCATTTGCTAGCCAGTTTTCTCACTAACTAGAGGACCCCTTGTCCCCTTTTTCATTGCTCCTCTGCATCTCGATGAGGCTTCAATGATATGAAATCCTACAGAAATATGAAATCAATTACATGGCTGTTGCTACCCCCTGTGATCTTTTCCCTGGGGAACCTCTGGTTAGACACCAATTATCCAGCTGTAGAGGAAGAAAAAGGTTTTCTTTAATCCCTACTTTCAATAATTTTTCCAAATAATCCCCTTTGTCTTGTTTCATCTTCCACAGATGGGGGCTTTGGGAG